GAAAACCCTGCGTCCCCGTCGCATTCTTGTGATGCTGGGAAGCTACTGTGTGCGGATGACGAACACACTTCTTTATGTTCCTGTGCTTATGTATGCCTGATTATGCGGGGGAACTGAGCACACACACTTAAAAGCTTTCTGGAAGAAAGCACCAAGGGCAGGTGCGGAGCAGGGCTCCCGGCTGCAGCGGTCTCAGGGGCTTCATTTGTTCAGCAGCCTTTTGCTGACTAACACAGTGGCCTCGGCCCAGGGTGGCGGTCGAGGTGCAGAATTTGTGCAGATGCAGCCATGGCCTGGACACCCCCAGCAGGAACGTCCATCCAGGGATAGAGGCGGGCAGCCCTTGACCCGAACAGATTCCAAGAGCTGATCCTGGGAACAGGATCCTCGCCCCATAGGATTTTGGAGCTAGAAGAGCCTCGAGACCGGTAGTCCGGATGGTCAGCAGTGTAGACCCAGGGCTCACCTGAGTAAACCCAGGCAAGAGGGCAGAGAGGAGGTGGCTGCTGCCCTGGCTGTTGCATCTGCTGGAAGGGTCCTGATGACAATGACACTGTGACATCTGCGCCGCCCACCCGTGTTCTTCTGTGCAGGTCTCAGGAGTGTGAGTTTCTGGCATGAAGTTCCTTCTGAATGAAAAAGAGGTGGCCAGAGGGAATGTGAGAGGAGTCACTGAGACTCAAAAAGGTGTCCCTGGTTCCTAATACATTTCTGGTTAAAAATCACACCTTTCGTCTATTTGACAAATCACTCTCAAGAGGCAACACGCCACACTAGGCGAGGGCACAGACTCTGCCTGAGCTCCAGCCGGCGCCTCCTCCTGTTACCTGTGGCCTTGGGTGGGGTACCTCACTTCCCCGGGCCACCTGGTTTGAATCTCAGCTCCACCGCCTACCAGCTAGCCTGTGGGCAGGTTACTTAACCTCTCTGTGCTCGTTTCTTCATCGACAAAACGAGAGAACTAGTACCTGCCCCCCGGCGTTATTTCAAAGATTGAATTAATGTTTGCAAAGCATTTGAAAAGTGTCTGGCCAACATATACAAAAATTAACCGAAAATAGAACAAGGGGAGGCCGGCTTGGTGGCATAGCAGTTAAGTGCATGTGCTCCGCTTCGACGGCCCAGGGTTCGCAGGTTCGGATCCCAGGCACGCACCACTTGTCAAGCCATGCTGTGGTGGTGTCCCATCTAAAGTGGAGGAGGATGGGCATGGATGTTAGCCCAGGGACAATCTTCCTCAGCAAAAAGAGGAGGATTGGCATTGGATATTAGCTCAGAGCTGATCTTCCTCACACACAAAAAAAAATAGAACAAAGGCCTAAATATAAGAGCTAAAACTATGAAAATCTTAGAAGGAAACATAGGGGTAGATGCTCATGACCTTGGATTTGGCAATGGATTTGTAGATATGACACCAAAAGCACAGGCTATGAAAGAAAAAAATAGATACATTGGACTTGATCAAAATTTAAAAAGCATTTATCCTTTATGGTCTAGCTCAGATGTCACCTCCTCCATGAAGCCTCTCCTGATCCCTCCAGATGGAATGAGTATTTATCATGATGATAGGAACAACAATGGCAGGTACATTATTGAGCCCTTCCTTGTGCCAGGCAGTGTTCCGAGTGCTCTGAATTTGTCACCTCACTCGCTCTTCATATCTACCCTAAGATGAGGTTCTGTTGCTATCTCTACTGAGAGATGAAGAAACTGAGGCATGCAGAAGTCCAGCAGCTGGCCCACAGCACATGGTGTGGACTCCCTGGTGTGGCGGGGAGCAGACTGAGCTGCCTGGAATCCGCACACCCATTTGTAAATGTGAACTCCTTAGGGCCAGTGACTGCCCCCAGATCCTCATGTCCCTGCGTCGTTGGACCTCAGTTACTACTGCAGGCGAGGAAGAGCTGAGGGCATGGTCAGACGTGGGTCACGGAGGGCCTTGAACCCCAGACCAGACACTCAAACTCTGTTCCATAGTTCATGGAAAGCCAGTTCAGGTTTCCAGTAAGAGAGAGACATAATAAAATGGGTGTTTTAGGAAAGACTGATCTGGACTCTGCTGCATGAGATAAATTGGGAAGGGAGTGACGGGAAGCAGGGACACCTATTCCCTGTGCATTAGGCTAAGCAGAGGTGTAAGAAGTTCACGGCAGGAGAGGAGAGGCTGTGTTCATGAGTTAGGGGGTGGGACGAGGGGTCAGGGCAGTGGTGCATGGACTCATGCGGACGGTGGCTGCACACCTGGGGAGGGGACGCGCGCCTACAGGAAGCAGAAACTGTGACGGTGAGCCTGCTCAGTGCCACTGTGTGCACAGCAGTGATGGCAAGTGAAGAACCCAGCCGCTCACCCCAACGTCTGATCACGCCCAGGCCCAGCACCCAGGACTTCCCGCCCTCCGGCGCTCAGCATCACATAACCACAGAGGGCACTCGGTACCTTCCGTCACCTTTCACTCAGATATCTTACCCAGGTGTCAAAAGGAAAATGTAAAACGTCTTCAAAGCCAAAGCTCTCTTCCTCATAACTTGTTTCTTTTCGTTTTCCTTCCATTAAAAATAAAACCAAGGTGAAAAGGGATTTGGTATCACAGCAAATTTTACTTACTCAGAGTATTAATTGGCTACAGTCTGATTTTTTCAAAAATTTATTGTAGGCTTAGAACGCATAAAAGAGGTTAAAATTTAGTAATACGCCTCACCCTTAGGCAAACTCATAGAACAGCTCCTGAAATTAAATTAGGGTGTGTGCTTGCGTCTGGAAGTTTTCCAGCTCATGTCTGATTGAAGTGAATACTTGAAGAGCCAGGAGGCCTGAGCAGACAGCTCATACTTTCAACAGTCCTTTCTGGTCCATCCTTCTGTGAGAACGATCTGTGGAAACTGCCCTTTTTGCATTTCCAATTTAAAATGTCAATATTTACACTATTTCCTATCCTGGGCAAAATACCCTCTCTCGGTGGTCTCTTAAATGACACTGACAATATTTTTTCTAGAATGTCTTTTAAAAAAAACAAAACTGATTCGAGTCCTGTTCTTGGTCCGCGTAGCTCGGCTTCCGGAGACGTCGGGTACTCACACAGTATGGCCAGCACCGTGTTCTGAGGTATCTGTCGGAATGGAAGGCACAGGATTTGGATACAGAAAACACAGGGCAGAATTGATCATTGCCTCGAGAACACAAATATTTTATAGGCTAATTTAGACTTTAAGAGCTTCGGGAGACATTAGATTTTTCCTGGGCCACTGGTTCATAAGTTTGGTTGCACATTGGAATCACCTGGGTGTTTCTTAAAAGTGCTGATGCCAGGATCCCACCCCTAGATTCTGATCGTCGGGCTGTGCTGTTGGACCTGGCAGTAGGATTTTTAAAGGCTCCCCAGATCTTTCTAATGTGCATCAGAATTCAAGAGCTGGTGACCTAGACGTCCTCCTCCCCCTCCCCAGAGAATCTGTAGTTGACCTAAGGCCAGAACTATAATCTCCTCCAGTGCACCCCAACTCTGCAAAGGGGTCCCCATCACCCAGCTGCCCCAGAGAACAGCCCGAGAATGACTTTGCCTCATCCAGTCATGACTTTGCCTTCAGTCCGTTCATCACAGTCCGTGGGTCCTTCTAGCTGTCTCCCGGCTCCATCGTCAGCACTCAGATGACTGGGGCTGACTCCTGCCGGGCTCCCCCCGCCACCACGGCCTTGCTCCCTTCTCGTCACCACAGCCTTGGGCTCAGCTTCAGAAGACTCACATCTCGCCGTGTTGCTCCCCTCCTCGAGCCTCGGTCCAGGGCTTCCTACTGCTGTGGGATTCCGTAACACGGCGGACAGACCCTCCGGGGGCTGGGCCTGCTGCCCCTCTGGCTCCCACCCTGCCCCTCCTTCTTGCTCCCGACAGGACAGTGCATAGGGGGCTTTGCCCAGCCCCACCAACACCCCATGCCCACACGTGCCCCTGGTTTTCTGTCAGCTGTTTCTTCTGTGTAATCGACCTTCTCAGCCTCTTTCATCATCCCACTCATCACTCAGGTCTCGGCTTAAAAATCATTTTCTCCAAATCCTGACATGCCACAACATGGATGCACCCTGAGGACATTATGCCAAGTGAAATAAGCCAGTCACAAAAATAAAAATATTTGTACGATTCCACTTATATGAGGACCTCGAGTGATCAAATCCATAGAGACAGAAAGGAGAATGCGGGCAGCCAGCAGCTGCGGGAGCAGGGTGGGGAGTTAGTGTTTAACGGTGACAGAGTTTCAGTTTGGGGAGATGAAAAGAGTTCTGGAGATGGGTGGTGGTGATGGTTGCACAACAGTGTGAATGTACTTAATGCCATTGAACTGTGCCCTTAAAAATGGTTAAATGGTAAATTCTGTCATGTATATTTTACTACAATAAAAAAAAATTTCAATCACTTTCTCAGAGAATCCTTGCCTGTCCTTTGGCCTAGGTTAGGGAGCCCTGACATATGTTCCCAGAGCTCTACCTGTCCCCCTCAGAACACTTTCCTGTTAAAGTTCGTCTGTTTTACCAGACTGCAAGTAGAGTGAAAGCACATTATGGGTCCCACCTCATTTATCACTGTGCTCCCCTGTGATTGGCACAGAGTAGGTTAAGAGCCCACTAAATAATTTTTAATGAATGTTCAGTGAATAAATCCCAGATTTCCACTTTCCCAGCCCACCAATCTTAATTGCTAGGAAAAATACGATTGCTAAAATAGTCATGCAATCTGGTGTTAAAATACCCAAAAGTGTCAGACAAATTGTCCAATCGTGGTAAATGATAGCATTGGGTGCACTGTGTGGAGTTTGAGCCTCTGATGAACCTTCAATATCAATTAGATTGGAGGTGGGTGAACCCCAAATGATCCTGAGACTGCCTCTGTTCTATCAAATAAATGTAACAGGAAAGTGCAAACCACATTCCTGGTTTCAGATTTTTTAAGAACACCTTGTTTATAACCACTTCCTTGGTTAACACCATGTTTTTTCTCTTCCCAAATTAGATCTTTATCTTCGAGAACAATATCTACTACTGCGCCCACGTCGGGAAGCAGGCCATCCGCGTGGTCTCCACTGGGAAGGAAGGTGTGATTTACAACGGCCTTAGCGACTGGCTATACGAAGGTGAGACACGCCGTGGTGGGCGAGGAGCAGGGGTTTGTGGTCGCTGTGGTCGCTGCTGCTGCTGCTAGAGTGGGGTTGGTAGTGGTCTTTTCTCCTTTGACTTTACAAATTAAACTCCAGTTTCTGAGGTTCTGCTAAATTAGAAGGATACCGATGGAGCTTCAGGGAGCATCAGGCTGTCAGCAGGAGCCTGAAGTGTTGAGCACGCACCTGGTGACCAGGTGTGCAGAGCTTGCCAGAACCCAAGCTCCTCCCTGAAGGGCAGGTGGCCGTCCTGGGAGGTTTGTTGTGCCAGGAGGTGGCTTCTGGGCACACTCGGGATTGCGAATGCTCAGAGCTCTTGACTGCCCTCAAGAGGCAGAGCTCCTCGTTTGGCCTGGGGGCGGGCAGGGGTGGAGGTGGAGAAGAAGCCGTGGATTAAAGCTTGCAAAAGAAGCCCGTGGAGTCACTGGCTGCCCCAAGTGCAGCCACCTCGTTGGGCATTTTCTACCCCTGCTTCTCTTCGGTGCCTGAGGCCTCCAGCTGGATGCATTGTTAAATAACCAGAAATCTGAGCGGGAAGCTCTCTTCTTAAATATTTATAATCCGTCTCCATGTTAATGAGAACTTCGTCATCACAATCACAATCGTGTATTGATTGCTGTTAGGGGCCAGGCATGTGATGAGCACTGGATTACCTGTTACCTTGTTGAACTCCCTGTCGTAGTCAGTTCGGGCTGCTGTAATGGAACACTGCGGACGGGACAGCTTCAACAACAAACATTTATTTCTGGAGGCTGGGAAGGCCAAGATCAAAGTGCCAGCAGATCTGGTGTCTAGTGAGAGTCCTCTTCCTGGCTTGCAGATGGCTGCCTTCACCCTGTGTCCTCACATGGCAGAGAGAGAGCGAGCTCTGGTCTCTTCATCTCCTTAGAAGGGCACTAATCCTATCATGGAGGCTCCACCCTCATGAACTCATCACCTCCCAAAAGCCCCATCCTCCAAACACCATCAGATTGGGGATTTAGGCTTCAGCATGAATTTGGGGGGGACACAACCATTCAGTCCATAGCACCCTCATAACAACATTCTGAGATGAGTACTACTATTAACATTTCACAGATGAGGCATGGTAAGGTTTAGTAATCAGCCCGAGTTCACACAGGTTAAGGAAGATACATTGGGCATTGTCATGGTTCAAGTCCAGGACAGTCCCTTTCTCAAAATCCAGATCTGAATCAGGATGTTTACATCCCAGTATTGGGCTGATAAACAGCTTACACTCTTCTCAGCCTACCTCCCGAGACCACATGGTCACAGTGATAATTCACCATGCTGCGCTGGGTCAAGGGATCAAGGGATACTCTAGGCATTATCAAGCCCAGGAAATATTTTTCTCCAGTGCCATGCATTCGTCATGCCGGAATTCTGCATTGCCAGGGTTTTATATATCATAAAATTTACAGCAGATAGTTAGGTAAGCTTAGTGTTACCTCCCATCGTAAGTCACTGAAGTCATTGAGGCACAGAGTTCTATGACTTGATTTCTAAAATTGTTTTAATTGAGATAGAAGTCATATACAATAAAATGCACAATTATAAGGACACAGTTTGATGAGTTTGACAAACATGTACTGTGTAGCCCCATCAAGACATAGAACATTCCATCATCCCAGGAGGTTCCCAGAGGCCACCACTATCCCCACGTCTGCAGCTTGTTTTCTAACAGACGTGCAGCCATTGGGCACCTCCCCAGTGTGGTCACCCTGGAAGCCCCTGTTTATTCTAACGTGGCTGCCGCTGCTCAGAGCACCCAAGATTCTAGTTTCTGAGTTGCCTTCTGAGCCCCAGGAGAATCGACCTTGAGGTTTTATTGGCCCCACATGAGGGTGTCGCTGGAATGAAATGGACACTGGCCGGTGTCCACTGTGCTCACGCTGATCTGTGCACAGAGAGCCCTGTGAGCGGCTGGCCCCGGGTTCAGAGAGGTCAGTGTAATTACAACCTGAAGACCCCCAAAGAGAAAGGGCGTGGGGTGCTGTCTCTAAGAGCCTAGACAGGCTCTAGGACTAATCTCAAAAACACCACGACCAGGAGATTTAAAATATCTTTTTCAGTATCTTCCTAATGAAATAAAAGCTGATTGCTTTGCAATTCAAGTTAAGCTTTTGCTTTAGCAAATCCATTGAAAGGAAATTTTTCTTTAAGGCATTTACACAAAATTGTGTTGCTGTGATAACAGAGCCCCAAGTATTTTAAATCAATCACAGTTGATGTGGCAGCTTAATCGACTTAGTGCTGTTCCCTGGAAGGTCGTATATGCTGATGCTTAGATTTCCCAAGTGGGGGGTGTGAGAGCCCGGGGGAATCCCAGTGCCTTTTTTACTGATGGGAAGGTAAAAGGCAAAGATGGACTTTTTCTAATCTGTGTCTTAACTGTTTCACTGCCAGACGCTCCCTTAAAAAGGGGGGCGGGGGAGATCGGGGGGAAAAATACCCTGAAAGTGTTTGCAGAGGGTCTGACTCGCTTGGAACTGTTAGTTCTGAGGAGAAACTATGTAAAGAGGAAACACGCCTGCAGTCTGCAGCCCTGTTGGCAGCAAAATGCCATATTGATTTGTTTTGTTTCCCAAAAGGATCTTAAACATATTGAACGTTTCAGAATATTGAGGGCTGAGGGAGAGAAGAGGTAGGAGACACGGGAGCTGCCAGGAATCTCCATCCTTGACCAAAGGTTCATGCATCCTCCAGAGGAAAATCCTGCTAACTGAAGCACCCACATGCTAGATGCTCCCTCAGCACCGGCTGTCAACCCAGTGCCTGTCTCTCACCGGTTCTCTCGGCTCCCCAGCTCGTGGTGGCCACAGACTGATTTTGATAAGCAAAATGCATATCTTTATTTTATTCTTCTGGGCAAATGTCATGCAATTCCACAGAATTTTTACTTTAAGATTAAAAACTGCTTCATAGTGTTTTACACCTGTTTTAAGGTTTACTAAAGTTGGTTATCCAGAAACTAAAATTAAGATGTTACTAAGAGTTTTTTGAGAACTCTAAATGAGGGTTGTGTTAAGAATTTACACTTTCATGCAGGGCTTATGCATTCTGCACAGCTCCTAATATGCAGGCATATGGGCACAGAGTTGGAATTGTCCAAATTTTTATGAAAGGCTCTTTGTTACCAGTTTACAGAGTTGGTTGTATTTTCCAGTTGCTGCTATTTGTTTATGTTATTTCCATTTTCATACACATGTTATCATACTCATGAGGTTCAGTGGTACAGAACAGAATGTTTGGCCTGTAATTTTCCAGTAACGAGACTTCAAATCATTTAATGTTTCAACTGAACTGTAAGACATCCGTACCTCTATTGCCAAAGCAGTCATATGCATCATCAGAAATAAATACCATTATTCAGTAATTTGTCAATGTCATGAAACGGCTGACACCCCAGTGGAAAGCTGGAATGTGTTGGGGTCATTTGAGAACCACTTCTTTCCCCACATACACGTGAATCCTGTCTTCTCAACTCCTCTGAGACAGTGGCAGAGGCAGGGTGGGGCTGTGAACTCGAGAAGATATTTATGGTGCACGGCCTGGAGTCATGAGGCTGGGATGACAGAGAGAGTTGAGAAAGTGGCCTGAAGGGTATTGATTTAATATCTAGTTTAGCATGGATGAGACCCCAGGGCTGAATTCTAACCTGAGCTAGTCCAGAGCTTAAAGGTACTTGGAAATTGTGATCAGATCTTGGCCGGGCAGCCTTGCCCTGCGGAAGTCAGCAGGAATGATGTTTAATAAGGCTCTCAGCGAGCTTCTCTGGCGTCAGCTCCTCTCGCTTAGTTTTAGGACCCATTCAGTCAGGCAGCGGCTGATTGACAGCGACCAGAGGGAAAAGCACGTGAGGACAGTAATGCGTTCTGTTGTCCCCTTGTCTTCCTAGCATCCTCCCATTTCCTGCAGCCCCTGGTACTCCTGAGCCCACCTCCTCCCTGGGGTCACAGCCCTCTCCAAGGCCCCCATGGTGCTCTGTCCACCTATCTGGGAGCCCCTCAGATTCCTCTTCACCGGTCCCCGTGCTGACTGGTGTCGTTCACTCGGGAGCTAGTGTGGAGGAGGTGGGGATGTGGCTAGGCCCGCCCAAGAGGCCCTCTTCCCAGAACTGCTGCAATTGGGGGTATGTTCAGTGAGTCCTAAGTTTTAGCTTAGAATGTTCTAGAAACATGTTCACATTGTAGTCAGGCCTGATGTGAAAGGGCGAGAGCTTTGCTAAGCTGGACTCATTCAGTGCTGCCCATTTAACCCCTGAGCCCAGTCATGTGGTCCTTACCCTTCGTGTTCAAACTTCTGTCCAGAGGCTGCAAAGCAGGATAAGACTAAGGCCTGTTTTGCAATTCTTTACACGGTCTTTTAAAGCATCTTTTACGGAGTCGGCACTAATGACCTCACAGGTTTTTATTCCAACAAGGTGCTCTGAGAGATATCAGCAAAACGTCAGATGGGCCCCAGCTGGATAAAGCTGAGCTACTTGATGGTTTATGTTTTTGGTGTAATTCTATGCCTTACAATTTTGATTATTCAAGGAGGCAAGGAGTTGAGGCGGGGAATGGCTTTCATGGGAAGAAACGTTATTACAATGAAAGCATTTCTGGAGATCCGTGGGACGATTCCCACGGGAAATATATCCACTAAAAGAAAAGGGCTCTTCCCTGTTTATCCAGATCACCCCAAACTTTCTAAATTCCATGAAAGCAAAACAAAATTATTAAATAATATTTCCTGTGGAATGTGCGTATCGGCTTTAATTTAAATTCATGGTTCATTAAATATTTGGTGGGCCGTGCATGCTGTATTGTACATCGATGTTCAGGGTGTCCAGTGCCCACTTTGTGCATGCCGTAAGCAGACCGGCCAATTTGCACTTCCGTGATGCAGAAGACTTCCACAGTCTCCTAGTGAATAGCCCTAACCTTGGACTGTTAGAGGTAGCTGGAGGATATTTGCATGCACACCATCTTTTT